TGCATGTATTTCTCAAAGTAATTTTTTTTTCCTCTAAAAGTACATTCCTGCCCCAAGGACATAGTGATCTGCCCAGTTTCCTAAGTAACACTGCAATTTTAACAACTCACCTGATCTTTCAGGTACGCACTGTAAAAAAGTAAAATAGAAGTGTCGTGTTTATGCGTGAATATGAAGAATACTCCTTCAATTAATTGTTAATCTTTAGCATTCACCTTCACACTTACAGTAAGAATGTAGTGACTTTTTCTGAAGAAAGCCTTTTTAAAAAAAAGTGTATTCATTGCTTTTAATGCTCATTCCTCCCACCCTGTACCCCTATCCATAAGTTCTTTTTGGCAAATACCACCACAGAGGGAAAATGTGACACTCTTAGAAGCACTGATCCCAACACACAGACTGTGAAGAAAGCATGTGTCTCACATGTTCACTGGCCCAAGTGAAGATCGTCCTGACCAGATGAACCAAGTGGGCAGAACCTTTTTTCTCTAGGCTAATTGCTTGTGTACTGGCAAGCAGTTTTTTTTTAAAAATGTATACTCATTTAATCATTCTGTTATTCTTTAGGTTCAATATTCAGAGCTCAATTATTGAGTAGGTTGACTTTGGGAATTTGGTAGATTTTTTTTAACTCAGTCATTTGAAGTTGATAGGTGCTTATTAGAATTATCTGGGGAAAAATTTCAAAATAAACATATTGCTGAATCTGCTCCCATTCCAGCCTAGCCTACTAAATTAGGATTTTGGTGGCATCATGTGTATTTTGTAAAAGCTCCTTAGATAAATTATAATGGCCATTTCCCACCCCGTTGAGGATGAAGTTTCAACTCAGTAGAGACTTTAGCTTAACGTATACTTAGTGGTTTTTACACTTTGCATAATTGAGAGACCCCTTCCCCTAACATACAACACAGTGTGTAACCCAAGAACAACCAGGTACTGCCCTTGAAACAGTTTTACAATATCTGATTAAATCTTCTACCCTTTTACCTCCAGGGAGGGTTCCCATGTGTTAGGGAGAAAGGGAAGCCCAGACACTTTTTCCCTGTCCTTTTTGTTATGCCATTTGTGCATTGTCCCTTTCTCAGTTTTGTGAGTCAATGGTGATGTTGTCAAAGTAAAATAACACACATTAAATAAAGAACACATTAGAAAGAAAAGGAGCCAGGTGGTTAGATACCCCTTAATGAACATGGGGGTGGGAGTAGATCAACCTCTTTATTTTTCTTCCCTTCCTTAATTTTTTATATCTGCAGTTGATGATCTGGAATATTTTGGGATAAACAAGCAACGAGAACTGCCTGCAGACCAGGTAGCAGAGGCAGTAGCAGCTGCCTACCCACGTGCTAAGAAGATTCCTCAGAATAACACCAGGGCTCTTCCAAGTCCACACATGATCCTTCTCTCCTGAGCAGGGCTCTCTGAAGGTTTTGGATGTGCCAACCAGCAGGGTAGCTTCCACCTCCTGTCTCCTTTAGGTTCTCTTAGCACCCAGCTTTCTTCTTATTTTCTTCAGACTTGTTATTTTTTTCCTTTAAATTTTATTGCTTTTCCTTATTTTAAACTTTTATTTTTTAATTGATATGTAATAGTTATACATATTTATGGAGTACCTAGGATATTTTGATTTATAAGTACATAGGATATTTTGATTCATAATTAGCATATCTATTATCTCAAAAATTTATCATAATTCTTTGTGTTGGGAACATTCATTGTCTTCTTTCTAGCTATTTGAAACTATGTATTATTGCTAACTACAGTCATCTTACAGGGGTATAGAACACTAGAACTTATTCCTCCTAGCTAGAAGTAACTTTGTGTTGTTTGGCAAATATTTTCCTATCCCTCCCTTCCCCCTGCCCTTCCTAGTGTCCAGTATCTTTTGTTCTACTTTTTACTTCTACGAGATCAACTTTTTTTAGCTTCCACGTCTGAGAACATGCGGTGTTGAACTTTTTATTCCTGGCTTATTTCACTAACATAATGCCTTTCAGTTCCATCCACATTGCCGAGAATGTCAGGATTTCATTCTTTTTTTGTGACTGATTAGTATTCCATTGTGTACCAGGCTTGTTCTGGGTCCTCTTCCTTCTTTGCCCTCTAAGGTTCTTTCCAAGGAGATGGAGCCCTCACATGGGAAAATGGATTTTCCCAAGCCATAAGCTCTACCAATACTAATGTTCACTTAAAACCAAACAAGAAGGAGGATGTCTGACTTTCCTTTTATAACCTAAGAATTGATGAAGAGAGACGAATAGTTCTGTGTATTCAGCCCTAAAGAGGTTTTACTCCTGTGAAGTAGCTCTCCAGCCTCAAAACAGGTCTGAAGAAAAATATTCTAAGAGGGAGGGAGCATTTAAACTGAATTTTAAAAGCAAACATGCCTTCTCCTTATCGCTGCCTTGTTTCTCTGTTTTTATTCTGTAACTAGAAAAACTGTGTAGTTGCAAATAGGATTAGGTTATAAGATCCATCAAGGCAGAGATTGTTTTGTTTTTCACTATATCCCTACAATGCTTGGCATAGACAAGGTGCTCAGTGAAACCTAGTGAACAGTGAAAGAGGCAAAAAACTGCTGAGTAGAAGTAGTTCACACAAAAATATAGACTTTTACAACCAAATCAGTTTATTGTCTTAACAAGTTTCATTGTTTGGGTTCCTTAGGAAGCCTTCAGCACTCTCCTATGTTATAACTGGAGGAATTTATAAAATGTGAAGCATTTAGAGTATTCTGGACAACAATTAGAAGTGGGCATGGGGTGGTCGAAGTAGCCTGTTTACAGCAGAGAGAAGGAACAGACTGGCAGTTTAGCATTCAGGGCTCACTTAACACAGGGACAGCTGGCCTGAAGTGCTGGCACTGCTGAGCAGGGAAAGGATGGGAGGGACCGAGGAGCCGCTGCCCAGAGGGGCAGGGTGTGTGGGAACCACCTCAGCCACAAGCCCACAGTGCCACTAGTCTCATGTCCTGATAACTCACTTGAGTTTGAAGCAGTGGTGTTAACATTTATCTGAAAAGTTTCGGAGTCTCCTTGGCTGAGCTGCAGGTAAAGAGGAAAGAAGCATGACTGAAGGTGTAAGCCTTTTTTGACTTTGTTTCTCTTTCTGAACCATGCTTGAGGATATGCTTGAGGGAATGAGATCAGATGCTCGGACAGTTGAGTGTGGGTCTGTATGTATTCACGGTCTATGTTTGTGGAAAAGATGGAAGCTCTCTTCTCTTCATTTCTCTGTTTTGACGAGGAACACACTTGTGTAATGTCACTGTCTTTTCTGCCTTTGGGCTTCAAAAGGACTGACCACTTCTCCATTCAGCCTGAAGTTTTGTCTACCAACCTTTGATGTTGCCATCTGTGTTAATTTATTATTAAGTCAGCATGCTACTTAGACTTATTTGCAGGTATGAAAAATGAAGTGTTTTCCCTGCTTCACATGTGTATTCAGAATTAACTATTTGGGCTTTCAGAATTAACTATCCATAGGGTCTTTGACTTATTTTCAAGAAAGTGATCAATAAAAGGTGTTTTGGTGGAAGTTTCCAAGCCCCTGGCTTTGTATTGTAAATTTTGGCCTGTGATGTTCTTTGCTTTCTAAAAAAGTTTCTTAGGATTTTAGTCAAATTCTTATATTTTCCTGTCTATAAATTAATTGAATTGCCTCTTAAGCTTTTGCTGTTTAGATAAATGTGTGTGTGTGAGTGTGAGTGTGTGTGTGTGTGTGTGTGTGTACACATACACAGTTTTAACCTGTGAAAGTTCCAGATTAGAGGCTCTCTGAATAGGCAAATTTGTCCGTTTATCAGTGGTCTTATTCCCTTGCTAACTAGGCTCTCTTAGATTTGTCTGAGGTTCCAGTCTTAAGACTATTAAGAGTCTTGTTCTCCTGCTAGAACTACCAGTTAGAAGTTTGGTATAATTTCACTAGATTCCTTTTTATGTCATTTACTTTGATTATTTTTTTTAAATTGTGGTAAAATATACATAATATAAATTTGACCATTTTAACCACTTTAAGTGGCCATTTGAATTTTAGAACTTGTATTCATTCCTGTCAGTTCTAATCAACAGCTAATGAGAATCAGCTATGTGCCTTGTCCTGAGGTTGGTAGATCATTGGAAAATTATTAAAGTATAAATATGGTTTCTCAGGACCCTGGTTCTTAATTTCAAAGAGATTAAACCTTCTTGTTTCATTAGGGAAACAAGATACTTGTATACCAGTGAAATTTGATTCATGGTAGATGAGGCCTCAAATGTTCAAGGAAAGCTTTGTGTAAAGGTGAGACTCAACTTGGTCCTTATTCAAGTGCAGGATCTGTCTATTTTGACAGGAAGGAGGAAGTGGGGAACAGAGGAACTAACATAGCATACCGGTAATTTCAGTGTCAAGCCATTGTCTTTCAGAGAATCCTTTGTTTTTTTAGCTTTGAAGCTCTCGGTGTTTTATTTTTAAAATAACCTGAATATTAAGATGAAGGAACATATTGTCACGTAATTCATGTTTTTACAAGTTATAGAAGCCAGACTTAAAATTTAACATACTTGTGATGTATGTTGTGTTAAAAATCCAGATTTATAGTGGTAGAAGAGTTAAACTTCCTATTAAAATTCTATGCAAATATCTGTGTTCATGCAGCATTAAACTTTTCAATATATTACCACCTGGGAGAAGGTATTTCATTAGTGAACTTAGAACAATAGTGGTTATAGTTTTTTTATTAAAAAAATAAGCATGTAATGAAACACATTTTCACTGAAATTAATCTTCAATGCCTGCTACACTGAAATCAGGTAAAAAGTTTAGAATGTGTGTGTACTGCGAATAAAGAGTGAGTTATTAATTCTGAACAATCTTGTGCCAACACTTAATGACAAATGATGGTGCCCACTTTGTTAGTTATGTCTATAATGGGTCAGGGGCTTCATCTGGGCTGTGTATAATATCTTACAACAAGAATTACAAAGTTAAAATCATTTTTTCCCTTCTCATATCTGCAGACAAGCAAATGTACACTGGGTACCACCGTGTTCACGTGACATCAAGAGGAAACGGAAACCTGTGGCCACAGCATCTCTGTCTAGTCCCAGTGCAGGTGATTACATGCAGTTATCATTTATTGAGCACCTATTTTGTATCAGACACTAGATTGTGTGTGTTGTATACCCTTTCATCTAATTTTTGTGATAAGGCAGGTCATTTTTTTTCCATGGGAAAACTGAGACTGAGAAGTACTTGGCCCAGTTCTTGCTGACCCTGAAGCCTGTGCTTTTTCATGCTACATGGCTTTCAAGGGTTTGACACCCTGTATTCCACTATCGACAATCTCAGTCATCTAAGCTTCTGTTCTAGCACAGGCAGGAAATTAGATCTATGTTAATGAAAATCCAGGTGTGGTGGTAGTTCAGTCAAGGAGTCACATGGGTTTATTTGCTTTCATATTTGGTATATAGTATAATACATGCTTACTGTTTTTATGAGTAGTAGAGTGCTATATTTTACTGGTCATGAAATTTCTAACTAAAACCAAATTTTCAGGTTAAAACTGTTCAGTTTTCTTTGCAAAACTAATACTAATGGCAGAAGCCAAAATAGTGGTTCTCTTTGGTAGGACTAGTGACAATAGAGGACACAAGGGAATCTTCTGAGTGTGGAAGTGGTTCATATGACGAATGAGGTGGGGGTTGTGTGGCTCTTTACACATGTTGAGATCCTTGAGCTGTGCACTTGAGATTTTTTTTTTTTTGAGTTGGAGTCTCACTCTGTCGCCCAGACTGGAGTGC